TATAGATTTTTGAATAGTAAATTTTTCCCATTGACTTTGTACACAGAAATTTAAAAAAAATTGTCGCTTTTCAAAGGACAGTTTCGACTCTTTGCCAGTACTTCATTTACACCACTCTTTGTCCAAGCAAAGACCCTAATTCAAACAACATTGTGTAATGATGACGTCATGATGACGTCATCCTGTGTTGATTGATAGGCAATTAAATTGTGACACTTTTAATATTTAAAAATGCATAAGAAATCAACCATACGCGTCCGCAGCATTCTGTTGCCGGCAAGTGGTAGAGTAGGTTGAGGTCTTTATTTCATTCAGTGTGCGTGAAATCACGTGACCCTTGCTTCCGGTCGAACAAGGCCAAAACCGGAAGTGGCTTATTATTTAAAAATGGTAATAGATATGAACTTGCTTTTAACGGTGTTAGTCTATTGGCCAATAGTATTCTTCAAATCATCTACCGATGACGTCATGCAATCTTCGAGCGCCCTCTAGCGACAGGTTGAAAATTTACAAAAATGTGTTTTGAATAGATGTCTGTGGCGAAGTTTGTCAGAATCGCCTAAATATTGGTGTATAGGATGACCTTGACCCCCTTAAGACGTGTGAGAAGTTTTAGGCGTATGACGTCATCAGACCGGAAGTTATAATGAAAAGACCCTTTTTCCTTTGAAAATTCCTGAAAAATCAACCATGGCAGTTTTTATATTTGTTTTTACTTTAATTGTCGATTTAAGGGTAGGTCTAAAACATTCCAAAGCTTCGAGGCAATAAGCAAACTCGGACATGCCCTGCGCACGCTTAAAACTTCAGGTGGACAATACCTCTGCTTTAAAACATGCACGTACGTCCACAATGTGTACATAGTATGTACATGCACGTACGTTGTACATAGGCACATACATCGTATGTCAGTCAGCCTGCAGCGCACGTGCTGCTGAGGTTAAATCCTGTCCACAGTGACCGTTTTAGCCGATTTTCGGCTAACTTTGACAGATTTTATGTTCATGCATGCGCATAGACTGGGACGTATTATAGCACTTTTGGCATTAATACATGTATCTACAGAAATGTAAGTCCCATTGGGTTGAAACTTGGTATGTTGCTATACCAGGATGTGTTATAGATTAGAAATGAGGTGACGTCATGATAACGTCATCCTGAGATTTTATATGAATATTTGATTTGTTGGACCTTTTAGCCATATCTCCGGAATGCAACATGCAAAATGCAAAATTCTTTTTTGCATTTGGTCTGTTAGGTAATGGGTATTCGCACAAAACTTGAAAAATGTGTGACGTCATTATGACGTCATCAAAATGCGATTTTTCAAAACTCATATAAGGAAAGGTCCAATTGTCATGAAACTTGGTGGGTAGGTAGATAATCGTACTAGTATGCAAAGTCCGAAGTGACGTCACGATGATTTCATCAAAAATTAAAAAAAAAAATTCCATTTTCAAAGTGCATTTTCGACTCTTTGCCAGTAACTTATTTAGATCACTCTTTGTCCAAGCAAAAACCTTGTACACACGCACACACATCGTATTGCCGAGGTCAAATCCTGTCCACAGTGACCGTTTTAGCCGATTTCCGGCTAATTTTGACAGATTTTATGTTCATACATATTCAGGGCATATTATTGATTAAAAAAAATCGTAATGCGGAAAAGCCCTATGTTCTGTTGCAAACAGACATAGACCTCTAGTTGTTCTTCTTCTTGTTGCAGTATTCCCTCAGGTGAATATTCCTCCAGTGGTGTCCTAGCCCAGGTTGGACGAGTAAGCTTAGACATTGTTTGTTCGTGTCTAATAGAGAGCGAATATCCCCTTTTGGGTTTTTTGGTATTAATAAATCTACGCTAGGACGTTGTTCTTCTAACTCACCAAGAAATGTTAGCATTTCTTGGTGATATTTTTTATGTGCTCTTATTTTTTCTATCTCGTCTTTGCTCCATTGGTGGGCGTATTGCGTTTCTTGGTCCATCTGGGGTTTCGTATCGTCGCTTACTGGTGAGTTTGATGGTGGTGTGTGGAGGGTGCTGTTTGCTAGATGTTCTGTAGTCATTGCATTACGACTGACGTCCAGGGTATAAATTCTACCACCATAGCGAAAAAAATTATAACACATTTTTTTTGCATATTTTTACCTGACAGAGGAAACTGAAATTTCGCTTACATATTCCTTGTGTCCAGAATTGTACCTGCGCTGGGTTTAGGAACGGCAAATATGTCCGTGGGCGGCGTGTTTACCGAAAATAATCGGCAAGTTCTACGCTTCTTTTAAAAACATTTTCAGTACAAACTCCCCGCGTGAAGACGTACACGCGCATGCCGTTTGCTGCCGCTTGCTGCTGTGGCAGCAGCGTGCTAGGTGTGCGCACGCGCGCGCGTAATCTTCACACGGGGAGTTCGTACTGAAATGTTTCAACGAAAGCGTGGGATTATGGTTTATTTTCGGTAAACACACCGCCCGCAGACATATTTGCTGTTCCTTAACCCAGCGCAGGTCTATCTAGTACCTTGATAAGAGAAAAGTCCAGTGGTTATTTCAGGCCAGGAAGGGTTACAGTGAAAATCACAGCTTCAATCACAGTAGTCATTAAGCACCCCACCGTCTTCTGCCTTCGCAAATGTGGCCGCCGCAGATACAGTGTCAGAACAGAGTAATGCAAAGTTAACGTATGTACTGTTCCAAATCTTTTCTTTTATTGAAATGGAACGATGGGTGGGGTGTCTGCTTGGTGGTCGGCGGTACCGACCCCAGTCATATCCACCGTTGCTGGCCTTGCTGTGTTTAGGTTACTATGTCCGGTCTCACCCCAACCCGGTGTGACTGCCTGCTTGCCCGGTGGCATCCTCTGTCATGTTCTGTGTAGTGCTAGTGGTCACATCCACCGGCATAGCCCTCGCTGGTTGTCCGACGGCTCGCTCTGGCTGTTTTCGGCAGCAGGATGTCCCCATAACCATCTTGCAGTCTTGCTGGGGGCTGCGCTTGGCGCTTTGAGCGTGGCATACTCCTTGTCTTTCGTAGTTGTACCTAAAGGGCACTCCTGCTCGAGGTTTGCTGATTGGGGATGCTCTAAGCTGAGCCTACGCGATTATGAGTTGATTTTGACCGGCAGCAACCGCTACAGCTAAACAGCCGCAGAACGGTTGAGAAAAACAAAGGTGCATCAATCCTAATATTGTGTGTCTTTAGTCAGCAGGATAGAATTATATCCAGAGGATTCACGATGTAGGTCAAACGAAATATAAAACTTACCTAGACTTTCCAACAAAATGTTTGAGACGTTTTCAATCAAATAATACAAGGATAATACAAGATGCATTTTTATGAATACTTTGTTTCATATGTATTATTTTGGAAATATATTCTTATCCATACTGGATCCACTGATTTGTTGGAACTTGATTCATTGTTATGCTCTTGTTTGTTATTTCCTGTTTTACCCTTTTTCTTTTTCGGAACTTGAAAGTTTATCTTACCTTTGCCGTTATCTTTGGAGCGGACCTTTTTAAAAAAAATTTATAAGAACAATTTCTCCAGCTTACTCACCAAGGACAACATCTCCCTCGGCAGCACACTTTTCCCTGGCATTCTGAAAGGTTGCTGCAGCTGTTTCCTCAATGACAGGAAATATGAATTTCTCCCGGTGTTCGGGTGTATCATGTGCAGATTCATGAATTTGAACATGAGGGACTCCTTTGTGGAGTTGTTGCCAGATAGCAGCAGTGTTGTCCCCAGCTTTAGGTCTCCTAGATGGCAACACTGCAACTTCTCCTGACAGCAGAAGCTGCAGATGTGTCCTTGAGAGCATTTCTGAAATATACCAAGCAGGAAGGGTTTTTTTCCCAGCAAGAATGTTGAACACTTATTATGAAGAATGTCCTATTAAAAAAAGGAACACTCAAGTAATACCATACAATGGATTCACACAAATGATGTTAGACTTAGAATGGATGAAATCAACAATGGGGTCTGTCTGTTGTGTAAATGAACCACAACTGTTTTGGTCAGTGTTACGTCACTGTGGCGTTTAAAAACAAATTGTGTGAGCACTTCAACTAAAATCTCTCAGGGTTGATTTTCTAGGAATATTAAAAGGAAATGAGGTCTTTTCATTCTAACTTCTGGTCTGATGACATAATCAATTTTTTTCCCAATGGTATATTGGGTAGAACTTCAACATTTCCAATTTTGCTGATTCTTGCATTCTTTCCAACCTCGATTATCTTCCTTGAAGCTTTCTTAACCGCATTTACAATTGCAATAATGGAGCCACAAAAACGATCTTTGGTGCCTTGGACAAGCCATTGAACATTCATTATACTGATGTCCCAATACTTCACCTCTTACCTCTCTTGGAATGCCCCAAGTCTTCTGGGTCAGTCGACTCCACTCCTGCTCCAACTTTTGGCACTTGCTAACAGCCTTGTCCCTTGTTATAAATGAAAAGCGTCTGTAATTATACAAGAAATCGGAATGTGAGGGATTTTACAGAGGTGCTAATTTCTTAAACATTTCATGCACTTGATGCAATATCATCTTCTGAGAATTTCTTCAAGACATCATGCCGAGGTCCACTGCTCAATGGACGTTATGCTGACATTTTGAGCAGCATGAGGGCCAATTTGCCAAGCAGGTGACTCGTGCATACCGATCATGAATGTCGTATTATCCTCGCAGCGGATACAGTTTTAGCGTTCTTTAGAACGCAGGGTTCGAGATCGAGATACAACAACTAACGGACAACGACACAGTTCTGCGATGTCTCTCTGATGAACTTTTATTCGATGGACCTAGAGTCTAACGGACTCTACAGACGGTTAATGGACACAATCGGTCCATGACAGACGGACCCCTGTACATTAAGAAATAATGCAAGACATTGGTTTAAAATACTACGTACTACAGTCAGTGTACAATAGACCACAACACACAGTTCAAAGGTCATAGTATTGGTAACCAAAACACTATAAACAGTACATCAGCTGGTGCTCAATAGAATGTGACAGGTTACATAACAGTGTTTTGGCTAGACAGAGATTTGTCCTTGTCCTCAATTCAAGGTGTTTAAAGTACCAGTAGTAGGCAGTTTCAACCCTTTTTTTAAAGCTCACATCGATTTGAAATCAGTGTCAATTGAAAGAGTGGTTATAGACTAGAAGAAATCTGTTTATTTTTTTCAAATCGGATTTTGCATTGCGAAGCTACAGTCGGTTTTGATAATTGAAAACAGGGTAAAAATTCATCGCCAGGTCAAAGGTTATCCTTTGTTTTTCTTTATTTCTAATTTGGCACCGACAATACTTTTGATTATATATCTTTGCTCAACTCTATCCTGGATGGCCCAAAGTTGGTACAAACAACAGTTATTAATATCTGTACAAGGACAGATAATTAATTTATATTTTAATTACCTCATTTGCATAATAAATTAATAATTTATGCAAAAACGGTCAATTTTCAAGGGAAAACTCATTTTTCTCCAATTTATCTTGACAAATACTTTAATTAAATGATGCAAGACATTGTAATAATCAAACCTGCTTAACTACAGATAATTAGTTTATATTGAAATCCCCTAATTTGCATAATTTATGCAAAAATGTTGATTGTTAAGGGAACCTTATTTTTCCCCAATTATTGTTGAAAAATAGATTGATAAGAGATACTGATTTAATCAAATCTGTCAATTGCCAAGATTGGGACTTGCATCAATAATTTAATTGACATAATCAATCACTATATATATGTTAATTATGTTAATTACCAAGCCAATACTATTTTGGAGAGGTGTGGATCGAGGGCGGCAAACAAATGGACAGGAAGCGCATCCACACACAGACAGAGAGCATAAACATGTACCGTGACAATTTTAAAGTGCTTCCAACAGAATGAGTTCATTTCTTTTCAGGTCCATCAGTAATGGGAACTCCTACTCCACATCTTCGTTTCTGTATTTGATGGAAAATACAGTCTTGGCTGGGTCTTTTGGTGTTTTTGTTATTGCAGATATTGTGCCAGTGTACCACTGAGGTGTATCGGCTGCCGTCTCACACAGTTTGTGCTCCACAGTCTTTCCTACTAATAGCTTTGGCTCATGGAGAAGGCGGTCAAGATACTTCTTGGAATTCATTACAGCTCTCTTTACTCGCTCTGCTTCTATTTTTTTGATCAGTTTATTTTTTTGGGACAAGAATGATGTATCTCTCTCTTCTTCGGGGAAGTACTCAATCTGCGACGTCCTGGTAGCACTGGCCTCGTTTTGTGCCGACAGTTCCTCTGGGTCGGATGTTAGGATGAGATTATTATGTTGAAGGACTTCAATGAGGTGGTTTTTCATTTCGTTTCCTGTAAAGTCTCTTCTTTTTCCGCCGTCTGTCGTTCCTAGTTGGAGACATTCCCGACGTGGGGTTTTGGAGGCAAGTATTTTTTGGTGAAAATTCAGTTGGCTATACATTGCCCTTCGAATGTCTTCGTCTGATGCATTCTGGTGATGCAGTTTCTTTGTCTCCTCCTCAACTCTTTCTGCCGTTGTCCACAACCCTCCTTGTTTGGTGACTTTTTCATCTTCAGGCTCACTGGTGGTATCCATACTGGAACACTGTCACAAGACGAGGACCACAGAAAAGCTGCAAAAATAATTGACAAAGAATAATATTACTCAACAAATTATTTGCCTTAATTTGTTACAAAAATCTACTTTTTTAAAAACCCACAATACAGTACATGTAGTAAAATCATGTTCCATTCCTCACATAGGGATGTCCATAATGATAAAATATTTGTAAAAAGGGAGGCGGAAGAAATGATCATGATTATAAAAAAATATAAGATGCCAGAAGAAAAATAATTACCTTAAATATTTATTAATTGGATTATTGCCATGTTAAAATGCATTATTTAAGCGCAAAACACTCCAGATAAACGTCACAAAATTTACAACCCCTGTTCAGTTAAATTGTACATGTATCGCCCACAATGGTGACACGCTCGCTTTAGCTGTTGTTTTCTCTCGTAAAATGGGAACGGTTTTGCTTTAAATTAACAACTAAATATCTTTAATTGGTGTATCTGATATCACGTATTGTCTTTGAATGTTAATAAATTCAACATCAGTTACAAAATTGGCACACACTTTTGCACAGATTGACGTAAAACGCAGGTTTTCTAACGCTGCATCACTGCTTGTTTCACGGGAATTACGAGATCATTGCGTATGCAGTGTGCATACCACCGCCGTACGTCCCGGCCCTACACACTGCGTGGAACTTGGTCGTCAGTGTGGACATTGCACGCGAGCGAAGTCTCGGATTCCTGCTCAACATGCCCTCCTAAAAGTACATTTTTGCGACAAATGGTAGGCCTTACGGATTTTTTGTCAGTATGGTAGGATTGTTTAATGTCTACTTTTGTATACATACCTTGTCGCTTGGTGATTCACGTTGATTATGGATCGCTTTATGAACGAGAAAAAATGTTTTTGATCGCAAAAGTTGCAACCCGTGGTCGATTTTGTACGCGAATGGACCCGAAGCAAGCTGGAAGCATACTCTTTTCCGATGATGACGTTTCTAAGCCACCCGGCCAATCAGAACGCGCAAATCTTTACCCGAAGTGTTCCGATCATATTTAGCCCGATTTGTTTTAGCGTTGAAGTGTGTACCACGGACACGAACTCGCTGGAAGTTGTGTGTGCCCATAGGAATGTGCAGTAATAACGGGCGCTGTGTGTGGAGTATATGGGGGCCTCTGTTTACGATAACGGAAGTAGTCCGTCTGTGGAACAGCCTACCAGTAGCAAAACATTGACTGTGCCATAAGATCAGAATAACATAGTGCATTAGCTACAGCACAGCTTGGAAAACAGTATCAAATAAATACACTGTCTTGACTTATCAATTGGAATTGAGTAAACATTGTTTCCAAAAATACAGTACTCAATATCTGGGATTTAATTGTGGATCAAGAACACAACGAATCAAGAGCTAACCTGGATAAAGTTAAAGAACAGCCTGTACAGCTACATGCAGATCATGTACATCAACTTCAACTCCAGTTGTGTAGCTGGAAGCTATATACAAAAGAATGACATAATGCTTGAACAAATGATTCCATAATATTATCAATGATACATGTTCAATTCACATTATCAATTTAAGTTGACTGCCGAACCTATTATTGTAAATTTCTAAGTTCAAGCATGGTTCGAGTCAATAAAAGTGCAACAATTATTCTCACAATAATGGCTCAACCTTCAGATAACTTCGTGCACAGAAATACAAACAAATGATTAAAACCATGAACCACCGGATATAAGAATGAACTTCAATCAATATTACAACTACAGAACACAAATATCTCCCAACTAGAAACTAAGTCTCAAAATTACAACTCAAAATAACTAAAGACAAGATCTCACCCCTCTATGGCTACGACATTGGCTTGGCTTCAGTGGCCTGCTGGATGTGGGTGCAGACTGGTCTTTTGGCCCTGATGCGGGACCTTAAATACCCACTTTGGTTGGGTGATGGACACTTCCATCCATTTGCCGATTGGCTACATATTAAATTGATCACTCCTTCCCCGTAAAATAATTTGAATATAAACTTTTTGATTGGCTAGTTTTTCAGGGAGTCCTAGGTGAATCTGCTGACCAGCAAGATTTCTTCCAGGTCCCAACAACCTCCAAACCCTAATTGATTTGTCTCTAAAGCTAGTGAAAGTGACATTCTTGGTACCAAAAATAGCTAGACAAGGGCATGGGAAGATCTCTCCAAACCAAAGGGTTTGGTTAGACCCAAGAATGAGACAGTGGTCTGCCAGGAGGTCATACCAATTACCAGCTCATTTTGGTGGTGAAAGGCTTCATGTATCCTTGAAGATAGGAAGCAACATAAAGAAGCCAAATACATGTAACATGAATAACATGTATTTTCATTTCCCGACATGAACATGCAGTCGTTTTGACTATTACCGCTACGGGCCGGCCGTTGAAGGGAACCAAAGTGGATGAACTCCCCATTCCAATTCTTTTCCTGGATTGGTTTAGAAACCCCCATCCCCAGCTCATCACGAAAGCTAGTAAGTGTTGTGTGGTCGTGCACAGCTGTGGTAGTACCACTAGTACCGGGGGGAGGGGGGGGGGTACTAGTAACTGCCATAGGAAGTGAAGTCGCGGCCATTGAGGATGGTCTAGTGCGGCCATTGAGGATGGTCTAGTAGTGGGACAACAATTACAGGTAAATTAGCAATATAATGATCACTGAACTCACCAAACCCCGGAGCTACAGGTGGTGCAACAGCACTAGGCAGGCTCCTTGAACCAGTGGCAGTCCATCTACTGGTGCAGCAGGGACTGCATATGTCAGCGCCAGCATCACGATCGGAGTCTCATTTATGGCTGGCACTGAACGAGTGGTGTTAGTGACTGCAGCCAACAAGAGACTGAGCACTTGTCGTATTCGTTCTTGTTCAGTGCTTCAGTGACTGCTACTACTGGTGGGATATAGTAGGCTTGAAGAGCTGCTCTATCCGGTTCAAAGTTTGGACCTTTGTAAATCTGTCATAAGAATACATTCTGCAGGGTTGCTAGAGAGTTGACAATACTTGAATTTGAATTATGTTGAGAATTGGTAAAAGTAATATTTCTGCAAACAAAAAGAAATGCGTTTCTGCCTGAAGTTTTTAATATTTGTATGCTACAGAGGGTGTCTAATAATGTAAATGCATGTTTAAAATCATATTGCAAACCTATAGAATTTTTCAGAAAAAAAGGCAAAGGGTTATGGAAAGAGTAAAACTCCAAATTCACCCTTCTATACTGATAACTATCATAGCATGCCAAGGAAAACAAATTTCTCTGGACCTCGTAGGTTTTGTGTAGGCTGTAACTAGCAGAACCCTTTAATATGGGATTTCTTTCGTTTCAATCTGTGACGGTCGGGTCTGAAAGCATGTTTAATTTTGGGAAGACCGTCTTTTGAAGTAATGAAGATCCCTTATCAGTGAGTTTCCTCTTAGTCTGATGACATGACGATCAGTTTCTGATGTGAATACGTCGGCATTACTGAATTTCAGAAAGATGTCTTGTCTCAGATAGCTGTAATGGGCATCGTTGAGGGGAAAAAGTGTTATTCATGAGCCCTCAAGGGACAATTTCCTGGTAGGCCTTATCTGCTATCATAAAGCTGTACATTCGATCAATGGATGATCTTCAACTGGGTAATCTGATAATTGTACATTGTTGCTATAAACGTGTCTTGAACCATCATTGTTTTTATTGCAACTGCTTCCTTTGCAAGCTAGTCTTTTGCAAAATGTACCATGTCATTCAGATCTTTCTTCTTTTTACTCACACAAGTTCTTCCCTACGTTTTCGTAATCTTTACTTGTCTGTGATTAGTGAGTCTCCCAATTTATCTGCGTAGTGTGGTTTGATATTAGATGCAAAAATCTCAGCATGCAATTCATAGATTAAGTTATCGTGAGGGTCACATGCAGGGTTGGCCTGATTCAAGTGAAGTTCTGTGAGATTTGTTCTGTCTATAAAATGAAATGCTTGCACTTCCTGGTCAATCTTTCCCGCAACAGCATGCCTGTCGTATTGTGTTTGATACTGCATATGTGCTGTCTGTAGAGTTGCTGGATGCAAGCAGCAAGCTTCAAACCAGGGATGTAGGGTTAGACACTGGTTTGGATCTTAAAGGTTCACCTTGAGAAAGGCTGAGCCCTCGGTCTGCATTCAGGGATGTGACAGAAAAAGCCACAACTCCGTATCTAGATTACCCCAAGATCCAGAGGGATCAGTTGCCTGTTTAAGACAAAACCGTACATCATAAAGGGCAGGGACCAGCTACTTGTGGGATAGCCACTGGGGGTGATTGGTGTGACTTCTGGCACAGCTTCAGAGCTAGTGGGTGGTACCGGAGGATTCGCAGCAGTCCTGCCCTCATTAGCCTTCCTCTTTTTCTCAGTTGGTGCCGCGTCGTCCTGGCCGTCATCAAAACTGGTTGGCTGGCCCACCGAGCACCGTGGTCGAGGCATCGTTGCAATATGGTAGGCACCGGTCACTTCTTTAAACAAAACTCTTGCACAAACCTTTCTGAAGGAATTCCCAAATTCAATGGATCCTCACCAACAGTGACTTCTGCTATTGTAAATCACCATAACAGATTCCAAGAAATTGAAATGAGGCCAGAGGATGGCCATCAGAACTCATTTTCATGATCTGTAGACAATCAGTCGTGAACCATGGCAATAAATCACGCCTCTGCTGGATAATCAGCAAGTTGAAATGTAGTTGGTGAAGTGCATGTAGCTTTCCTACCTGTCACATTCGGCCTAGTCAAATGATGCCAATGGAATATTGCAAGTAACTGTCTTAATATTCTTCTTGCTGAATTTCTGCAACTTAAACTCACAAATCTTTCAGATGAAAGCTGGAGGGAGATTTGCAGTGTCATCACTCACTGCAGTACTGAATACTAATTCAATTTGCCTTGCAAACTTCTCTTTTGGAATCGGATGTCGACCATCAACGAGATTCCCCACACAATCTGCAGACAGATCGCAAGTTGTACTGTCGTGGCGAAAAACTTGTGAAAAACCTCTCTCTAGAAGTTGAGCATCACCTTGATTAGGATAATGCTCCAAACATTTGCTTAAAAAAAAGTTTAATTGACGTTGGAGGAACGAAAAGAATTCCCAGAGGGGACCTTAGTATCCGGTGCTCTATTTGCTTGCTTAGAAGACATAGCAGCCTGGCCCCGTTTGTAAGTGTGTTGCCCGGCTTGACCAGTGGGCTTACAAACTTTCTTGTCCTTATGCCAATGAAAAGGTGAACCAGCAGCACAATTCCCTATTTTGCAGACAGCAGCCCCATGGTTCGGGCATAATGACGTCACATCTACTACAGTTGTAAACATATTTACAGGCATGGAAGTGACATGTGCACGCCCCATTAAACACAAAAAAAAACACCTGGTGCGTTTATTATCCAGGGTTGAGTGTTGCGAACTGCTGGAGCCACTCAGGCCACTGGTCATGGACGAAACTGTTTGGGCGGCCACAACAGTCAGCCAGAGTTTGGTATCAATCACTCCCCACGAGCGAGAGCGGTGCTGCAAGCTCCTTCTCGTGCAATAGTGGCCTCTTCTTCAAATCCTCATTTCCTTGTTTGAGGTCTATTGTTAGTGCCAAGCCTCACCCACTGAAATGGACATATTTTTCCCCATACACTTGACATGCTCCTTTAAAAACAAAAATTGAACTAGCTTTCTGCATCAATTATTGATTAGTTTTGATCTTTTAACCTCTTGCATTGATTTCACTATGATGCCTTGGGTTCTGTTGTCTGTAGTTCTATTTTGTCTTTTGGACGTCTTGAGCTTGTTGTATATCTGGGATTGTTTCTGATAAGATATTGAATTACCATACTTCAGTCTTCAGAATCCAATATTTCTTTGTCAACCCAAACTGTGAACGGAAGGCGTCAGACAAATCGAAGCAGTCGTGGTCAAAATGATCGCTACAGATCATGCTGGAGTCAGACGGCCCGGGCCATTTCCCCCTCGTCAGCTTCACCTTCGCCGTCCACATTTTCCTCATGTTTTTATCTTTCGGAAACTTGTGGAGACTGAACCCATCCTTATTTGTATTACTGCATCCTGCAACAATACACCATGATGGCATATTGAGATGTTGATTTTACGATTTAAAGTTGGCACTAAAGTTTTGATGATCGAGAATTTTTTTTTCATATCTATGGGCCGGAGGCATGTACATGTATACGTGTGTATGTGCCGGCGAAGTCAACACATGCTACACGTCTAGACGTGGCTCGGCCTTGGAAACGTTTTTACCGTGACGTGGCACGTCAAGTTGTCGAGAAAAGTGGGGGGCCCAATTTTGGGGTCAAAAATGCTGTATATTTTCTAAAACAAATATATTTGACACAAAAATTAGTTGAAACGTTGAAGTTTATGGTAATATCAGTTTATTAAACATCACTTGATCCTGGTTTTCTGTAAACCTTAAAGTAACAACGCGGACCAATTTGCGATACTGGGAAGAGAATATTTAAGTAAATGTGCCGTGAATTCTGTACCAGAATATGCATTCTTGTTTAATTTAGAGGGATGTTTGATTTTCATTCCGTGTCGTTTTATTGCCAAGTTTGCATCATCCGCCACCCGCTGAGAGTGAAGCTTAAATGGTGAATTGGGTGCTCTTCTCACGAATTTGTCTTGGGACATGTCCAAATCTGTATCTATAGTGTTATTGTGTGGTGAGCTTTTGGTACACTCATTTTCGGTTTCATCTTCCTCTTCATTATCTTCCAACAAATGCACTTTGATTTTGTCATCTTCGACCCTTTCAATTTTGTCCTTAACTTTGTGGTAGTGTCTTTAAATTAGATCAGTTGACAATTTAGAGTGGGTTACGATAGTTACAGACTCTACAATGTCATCAATTTCTCTCAGATTGCTGGACTGTAGGAGTAACCCTATCCAGTACATAGCATGGCGAAAGTTGGACTGGTAGTATTTTCTACACATTATTGCAGCGTTCTCCATAAAGT